GTGTGTGTGTGTGTGTGTGTGTGTGTGTGTGTGTGTGTGTGTGTGTGTGTGTGTGTGTGTGTGTAGGGGCAGTGCTCGTGTTAAGGTGACTCCGGGTTATAAAGAGGAACAGTGTGCTCCTGCTCTCACACTAGAGATGAAGAAACCTGTCGACCTGGAGGCTCCCATCAGCTGGTACACACACACTTATAACACACACACACACACACACACACACTATTAAAAAAGGAAAACACACACACTCTGAGAGTAGTAGTTTTGCTGAGCACATGATCCCTCATATTCTTTAAACCGCAGGCTGAAGCAGATGAATATTCCGCGATGTCTCTGCTCGTGTGTTCCCTCCTCCCATTTTTATTCAATGTTTCTGTATCAATGACTGTAAAAAATATGGACAACGCGACAGCCCTTTTTCCCATTGAACGCCTTGAGGGCAAAACGCCTGCTTGACGGGCACAAACTGTCGCAAAAGACTGCTGAAATTGGAGCCAGACATGCGCAGAAGCATTTTCTGATGGAGCCAGAGGAGGAGCCGCGAAAATGAGCAGAGTCGAGCTTCCAATCAAACGCTTTGTGTAAAATCAAACACGCCCCCCGAACTGCTCAGCATGCGTTTGCTGTCATATCAACACAAATGGATGTAATAACGTTAACAAATATGAGGGTTTTATATATTCAATCGCGCCAGCTCCAGGCCGCATCGCATAACATACTCGCGGCGTCGCGGGCTGATTCCGGCTCGCATGCGGCAGCGCCGGCTCGCTCGGCCGCCGCATCTGGCTCGATTGACTCGGGCTGGAGTTGGGTAGTGAGTCCAGGCATCCGGAGTAGGTCCAGCAGAGGTAACATTAGTCAGTCTGAGCTCTAAGAGATAAGTCTCCGGCAGGCGAGAATCTAGCCGGAACTGTGTTTTGCTATCTGGGTGGCTAGGTGTACGTGTATCAGCAAACTAATAAAGCCTGAAAAAAGCCCTGAACTTAGCGAATAAACAGTGTTCCACCAGGATCATGTATGTCAGAAACTGTAGTTTACTGCTGAACTCATCTTGTCATGGTAAAATAACACAGAAATCGAATAATAACACTTCAGTCTCCTGCCGAAGCTCAGACGCCGCGCTTTGAGAAACTGTCAATCACAGCTGTCAATCACGATGACACGCCCAGCATTAAATTACTGCTAAAAACAAACTGTTTACAAAAATGAAGATCTGCACCTATTTCAGCACAATAACCAGTGCCTTAATCCACCAGAACTATCTTTCGGGACATTTTATTGCAAGTGTAATATTTTTTTTTATTTGGGCTCAAGTCTCCTTCATTAACACGGAGGAGGCGGGCTTTATGACTTGTACTGCAGCCAGCCCCCAGGGGGCGATCTAACGGCCGAAACCTTCACTCAAACGCAGGCCTGCGGCACACTTGTTCTGTATTAGTTTGGTCACTTTATTATTTTTAGGTTTACTTTATATTACTTTATTTTAGACATTTTGATTTATTAGTTATAGTTTGTCAGTTTATGTATGTGTCCTGATCTGTGATGTATATATTCTGGTGTGTGTGTGTCAGTCTTCAGTCTCTAGCGGAGGATCTGCTGGTGGCGACGGCGGATGGTTTCCTCCATATGCTGCATTGGGACAGTGTCAGTAACGGCCGCAGAGCAGTGAACCTCTGCACCATCCCCTTCTCCCTGGACCTGCAGTCCTCCAGAGGTCAGATCCGCTCTGTGTGTCTGTCGATTTGTCTGAATGTCATTTAGTCTTCCTGTCTGTCTGTCTGTCTGTCTGTCTGACTGTCTGTCTGTTGTTTAGTCTGCCTGTCTGTCTGTCTGTCTGTCTTCCTGTCTGCCTGTCTGTCTGTCTGACTGTCTGTCTGTTGTTTAGTCTGCCTGTCTGTCTTTTGTCTGTCTGTCTGCCTGCCTGTCTGTCAGTCTGTCTATCTGTCTGTTGTTTAGTCTGTCTTTTGTCTGTCTGTCTGTCTGTCTGTCTGTCTGTCTGTCTGTCTGACTGTCTGTCTGTTGTTTAGTCTGCCTGTCTGTCTTTTGTCTGTCTGTCTGCCTGTCTGTCTGTCTGTCTATTGTTTAGTCTGCCTCTCTCTCTTTTGTCTGTTTGCCTATTGTTTAGTCTGTCTCTCTCTCTTTTGTCTGTCTGTCTGTCTGTTGTTTGGTCTGCCTGACTGTCTGTCTGTTGTTTAGTCTGCCTGTCTGTCTTTTGTCTGTCTGTCTGCCTGCCTGTCTGCCTGTTGTTTAGTCTGTCTTTTCTCTGTCTGTCTGTCTGTCTGTCTGTCTGTCTGTCTGTTTATTGTTTAGTTTGCCTCTCTCTCTCTTGTCTGTCTGTCTGTTGTTTAGTCTGCCTGACTGTCTGTCTATTGTTTAGTTGGTCTATCTTTCATCTGTCTGTCTGTTGTTTAGTCTGCTTGTCTGTTGTTTTGTCTGTCTATAGTTTTATGTCTATCTACCCGTCTGTCTGTTTTGTCTGTCATTGTATCTTATATCTGACAATCTCATGTCAGTCTGTTGTTGTTTATCTTTCTTTTGTCTGTCTGTTGTTGTGTCTGTCAGTCTATCTGTCTGTCCTTTGTCTGTCAGTCTGTCTGTGCCTGTCTTGTCTCTCTCTCTCTCTCTCTGTTGTTCTGTCTGTAGTTTTGTTGTTCTGTCCTTCTGTGGTTCTGTCTGTCTGTTGTTCTGTCTGTAGTTTTGTTGTTCTGTCTGACTGTGTCTGTCTGGAGTTTTGTTTGGAGTTTTTGTTTTCTATCTGTCGGTTGTTTTGTCTGTTGTTTGTCTGTAGTTTTGTTTGTCTGTTTGTTGGTCTTTTGGTCTGTCTGTGTTTTTTTTCTGTCTTATCTGTGTCTATATCTGTCCGTCTGTCTGTTGTTTTTTCTCTGTCTGTCATTCTGTCTGTTGTTCTGTCTGTAGTTTTGTTGTTCTGTCCTTCTGTGGTTCTGTCTGTCTGTTGTTCTGTCTGTAGTTTTGTTGTTCTTTTTGACTGTGTCTGTTCTTTCTGTCTGTCTGTAATTTTGTCTGTAGTTTTTGTTCTGTTTGTCTGTAGTTCTGTCTGTGTTTTTGTTTTCTGTCTTGCCTGTGTTTATCTGTCTGTCTGTTGTTGTTTTGTCTCTGTCTGTCATTCTGTTTGTGGTTCTGTCTGTAGTTTTGCTGTTCTTTTTGACTGTGTCTGTTCTTTCTGTGTGTCTCGAGTTTTGTTTGTAGCTTTTGTTTTCTATCTGTCTGTTGTTTTGTCTACAGAATAACAGACAGAGACAGAACGACAGACCGACAAATTGACACAGACAAGACAGAAAACAAAAACTATAGACAAAAATACAGACAGACAGAACAAAACTACAGACAAAACCACGGACATACAGAATAAGACAAACAGAAAGAAAATAAAAACTACAGACATACAGAACAACAAATAGATAAAAAACAAATACTACAAACAAAACTACTGACAAAGAGCAACAGACAGACAGACAGAACACAAAAACTACAGACAAAACTAAAGACAGACTGGCAGTTTTTGTTTTCTATCTGTTTGTCTTATTCTGTATGTCTGTGGTTTTGTCTATAGTTTTGTTGTTCTGTCTGTCTGCATTTTTGTCTAGTTTTTGTTTTCTGGCTTGTCTGTGTCAATTTGTCTGTCTGTTGTTCTGTCTCTGTCTGTGATTCTGTACGTGGTTCTGTCTGTTTGTCTGTCTGTAGTTTTGTTGTTCTGTCTGTTGCTGGTGTGTGTGTGTGTGTGTGTGTGTGTGTGTTAATCTCTGTGTGTCATGATGATAGCATCTGTGTCTGTGTGTGTTTTCTCCAGGAGGGCCGTGTTTGGATCTGGACGGTGTGTATATTCGTGATCTGGAGTATTGTGCGACGCTGGATGGATTCGCTGTGGTGTTTGATGATGGGAGAATCGGCTTCATCACACCCACTGCTAACAGACTCGCCACAGACGTAAGACACACACACACACACACACGTCTGCAAACCATTTATAAAGGATGATGAACAGTTAATTAGCTGGTGTTTATAATCATGTATTGAAGTATATGGTGTGTGTGTGTGTTTGTGTGTGTGTGTGTGCAGCAGCTGCAGGGTGTTTGGGCCGCGGACGTCACTGATGGTACATGTGTAGCCGTCAACAACAAATACAGACTCATGGCCTTCGGCTGCACAAGGTAGATGTGTGAGAGTGAGTGAGTGAGTGTGTGTGTGTGTCAGATGTGGTCTATATCCGTGTGCGTTCATGTCTGTGTGTGTGTGCAAGAGAGTGTGTGTCAGGTGTGTTGTCTATGTCTGCGTGTGTGTGAGTTGGGTGTCTGTCTGAATGTGTGAAAGTATATGTGTGTGTGCGCACGAGAGTGTATCAGGTTTGATTTGTATGTGTGTCGAGTATATTCTGTTTGCAAGTGTGTGTGTGTGTGTGTGTGTGTGCAACAGAGTCTATCAGGTTTGGTTTGTAAGTTAATGAGTGAGTGTGTGTGCCCTCAAGTGTGTTATTAGGTGTGTGAGGGGGTCTGTGTGTGGATAGTTGTCATGTTACGCCTCTGCGTTTGTCTCAGAGCTGTTTCTTGTGCTCGTCAAGGTTTTATTATTGGAACAAAAGTGCAATAAAAATCTGAAATATTTTTAAAATGACAAACAAATGTTGTTTTATCGGAATATATGCTGAAATGTGACTTATATGAGAAGTTCATAAGTAATAGATAATATGAGGATGATCAATATTTCTAATTATTATCAGTGTTGAAGAGAGGTGTGCTGCTTCATATGTAGTGGAATTGATTATTTGAATATATTATATTGTATTCTATTATAGACTGTTTAAATATTTATTTTTATCGACTTGTGTTTTTTCTTTAACTTTGATCAAATAAATAAATATATTTATATATATATTGTGTGTGTGTGTTGCAGTGGCTCGGTGCTGGTCTACATGATTGACAGCTCCACCGGCTGCATGCAGCTGTCTCATAAACTAGAATTAACCCCTAAACACTATCCAGGTGAGACGCTTCTCTGCTCATCATGCTTAAAACACAGTCAGGAGTCAAAAACCACAGGCGGATGAGGATCATCCTTTATTTACTGCTCACACATTAACCACAGACCCACAATCCTCTCTGATCATGAGACACTGGCGCCCCCTGATGGCAGCTGGGGACATTAACATATTTATTTATATTTAACATATTTTTATTTATGTATTTTTAAAATAAAATCTGTCTCTTTTAGACATTCTGTCTCCGAATTTTTTAATTAAATGTAATTATTTTAAATTAACTAAATATATGTATATAAATTGTTGAATACTGAAATTCCTCCCAGAAATACCTATTTAAACTAAATTTAGATTTACTTTTTGTCATTTTTTTTAATGAAGATTTTGGTTCAAAGTAAAGCCAAATTGTATTTATTCAATATTTAAGTTAATTGTATACTATTATCTGATGTAATATACTATATTGTTTATAATATATTTATTATAATTATAATGTATTAATATTATATTTTATTTTTTAGATGTAATATATTATTATTTAGTTTATAATATATTTATTATAATTATAATTTATTAATATTATGTATTTCTATTATTATTAGATGTAATTTTTTATTATATTGTTTATAATATATTTATTACAATTATAATTTATTAATATTATACATTTATAATATATATATATATATAAATATATATATAATATATTATTATATATAATATATATTATATTAGATGTAATATATTGTTATATTGTTATAAAATATTTATTATAATTATAATTTATTAGTATTATAGTTTTATGTTATTATTAGATGTAATATATTACTATTTAGTTAATAATATATTTGTAGTATTTATAATTTATTCATATTATTTTCATTTTTATATTATACATTTTTTATTATACTTTTAATAATTTCTTGCCACTTTAATGCATTTTTTTTATAAATAATAAATTTTTAATAATTAATTTTTGTTATAATTCCACTCAAAATGCAGTCAAACTTATTTAAGCTTGTGTGTGTGTGTGTGTGTGTGTGTGTGTGTGTGTGTGTGTGTGTGTGTGTGTGTGTGTGTGTGTGTGTGTGTGTGTGTGTGTGTGTGTCAGATATCTGGAATAAGACTGGTCCAGTGAAGATGATCCGCTGGTCTCCGGACTGCAGTGTTGCCATGGTGACGTGGGAGTGTGGTGGTCTCTCTCTCTGGAGTGTGTTTGGTGCTCATCTCATCTGCACACTCGGAGAGGACTTTGCGTGAGTTACACACACACACACACACACACACTAATTCGCACATTTCCAAACACTCTCTCAGAATCACTCTCACACACAGAGACACACACACGCACCCACACACACATATATGTTAGTGTCTACTAGTGTTATTGGCAGGACTGTTAAAATTAAACTTGTGTGTGTGTGTGTGTGTGTGTGTGTGTGTGTGTGTGTGGGTATGCGTGTGTGTGTGTGTGTGTTTCTGCTGCAGGTATCGCTCTGACGGCACTAAGAAAGACCCTCTGAAGATCAGCTCTATGGTGAGTGTGTGTGTGTCAGAGACGGACACACTGTACAGTGGGTTAGGGTTAGTGTGTGTTTTTATTGTGTGTTTGTTACACTGTTAGTGTAATATTATTTAGTACTGAAAATCATCATTATTCTTATATGCAGATATGTAATGTGTGTGTGTGTGTGTGTGTGTGTGTGTGTTCAGAGCTGGGGTGTGGAGGGTTATCATCTGTGGGTGATCCGCAGTTCAGACTCCACTGTTACTGAAGAAAAACAAGAGAAACTCCAGCAGAACACGATACTGCAGTTTCAGTTCATCAAGAGCGCA